TATTACCTTTTCCACTAGAGAAAAAGTAGACATTGCATCCTGAACTTAGCTGGCAACACACACGAACTATACAGCATTCTTTGTGGGGCAAAAAAAAGAATTAAAGATATGACTTTATACTGTCAGATACTCCATCATCCCAGATGCTGTCACAGGGAGGCAGGAGCAGAGTTTAAGAAAAAAAATTAAAAGATCTTAAAACGGAGCAGGACAGTGTGTAGGTTTGGTGATCAATAATACACAGATGAATTAAGCATCCACTCGGACATGGGGTAACTCACAGTTACATGCCATATGAACACTAAATCTTTTGAAAATCTTAATTTTTCTATCACTGAAGAAAATGAACCTTTTAAGAATGCACACGTACCCACTTAATGAGAACCCTGAATGAGACACCTAATTAAGCAAGTCACAGAGACATAATGGAATCAGTACCCTGGGAAAGTTTGTCTGGCAGTAAGATACAGGCTGGCCCAATAAGGATGTTTTAATAGTTCCCTACTGGCTCAGAAGAATTAATGTACCTGTTCCCAAATTGCTCTGCTTTCTAGCAGTTATCTGGTATTTGGAAAGCCTGATTAATAGTGTGTTGAAAAACAAAAATAAACAAGGCATTAGGCTGAGATTTCCCCTACGTATTTTTTTGCTAATCTTCACAGGCATTACCTTTAATGAGTATCAGCATGGAAGTATATTGTAAACACACAGCTGAGAAGAACCTTGACTTCCCTGAATTTCAGGATCACCAGAAAGCTGTTTTTAGAGCTCATCTTGTCTGGGGCTCTTACCCATCTTACAAGTATACCAGTGAGTGAGGGTCTTAGTACAGTCATCCACACCTTCTGTTTTACCACCACGTCCATGAAAAAGACATTCATAGTCATGACAGACTCCAAAGGGTGTGCTCACATATGTTTTACTCTTAGTGTGCTGGCCCAGACTCTACTCCTTCCTTCTTCATTTGAGATCAATCGCCAGAGTTCAATCCAGTGGTATTATTTAAATGTGACGTTATTAGTTCCAAATTACTTGCCACAATACTCAAGAGATGATGACTAGTGTGCTTCACACCACTTCACAAGGTGATTTTAGCCTCTGCTTAAACATGGACAATTACGGGGAATTCAGTTATAGCCATGGCTTCCTTTTTTTAAGCAGCTCTGAGAACCAGAAGTTCTTTCATACATTGAGCCTGATTCTATCTCTTCACAGTTCCTACTCATTAACTCTATTTCTACCACCCAATGACTAATTAAGTGTATGAAGATGATGACCATGGACATTCATTTCTGACTTTTCCCCACATCCCACTCTGCCAACAACCCACTCTTTCACACTTTCACATGGAACGGCTTTCTTCCCATTCTTCTCCAACATCCTGCTTGTCTTAAAATTGGAGGCAGCCCTTAAGAATTCCATTCTCACTGAAGTGGTATACAACCACATTTCCAACCATATGACCTCTTCTGGTTTCAAGAAAAGAGATTTCCCAAGATACTTTTCATGCTGAGAAAAGGGACACTACACTCCTCCTATATGCAGGGCAAGAGAAAATTGTAGCATTTAGCTCAGGCACCCTCTGCTCTAGGAAGCTTCCACCAATCTAACCAACCTGAGCTAGGTCTTCCATGGGAATCTCCACAGGGTGCCAAGCACCATGTCCTGTAAGCCACATTTCTTCCATCAAAACTGGAAGTCCCTTGATGGCAAGAACTGTGCCTTAATCATCTTTGTATTCCTGATGCCCACCACAACACTTTGTACAAGGAGGACGCATTTACGGATATACCATATGAATGAATATAACGACACACACGCACGCACACACACACCTATGAAACCACAGTATCACTGTAGCAACAGATGGAGATTTAAGAAGGAATTACAGATCCTCAAATTCTAGAACTTCCTCTTGACAAAAAATCTGCAGCTTCTCAATAAACATATCTACAAGATGTCTATACCACAGTAAGAACTTTAGTCTGTATTTAACAGATCTTGTAAGCAACAGATACCATTTAAAACTAAAACACAGGGGTGCCTGGGTGGCGCCGTCGGTTAAGTGTCCGACTTCAGCCAGGTCACGATCTCGCGGTCCGTGAGTTCGAGCCCCGCATCAGGCTCTGGGCTGATGGCTCAGAGCCTGGAGCCTGTTTCCGATTCTGTGTCTCCCTCTCTCTCTGCCCCTCCCCCGTTCATGCTCTGTCTCTCTCTGTCCCAAAAATAAATAAAAACCGTTGAAAAAAAATTTTTTTAAACTAAAACATAAACAATTCTAGACAAGGTATTTAAGGGGAGGAAAGAAGTGGCTATAGGCAGCGGTCCTGCAGAGACAACAGAGTTGCAGGGTTCCACCCAATCAGCTCTGGGAGCCATGAGTGCTAAGAGACCCAAGTGTGATTTTATTGCATCTTGGCAGGAGAGTGGCTGGGGTGGCTGATTAGAGAAACAACATCTAGGAATACCCACTTCTCTTTCCAACTAGTGCTGATTGATGCAAACCTCTAATTTATTTCATTTTGTTGCCTAATTGCACCTCTGAGAATGCATCTGAACAAAGGTCTCTGTACCCAAAATGCCTGATGATCACAAAACTGACTGTGGACAGGTGATTCTTCTGCAGGCTTGGGAACGCCGAGCTAAAATATTTTTGTGAGTCATTAATAAATTAACAGGACAGAAAAGATTTGAGATTCCAAATCCAAGGCATGTGCTTTCCAGTTACAGAAATATTTACCTTTAATGCAAATTGAGCATAGGTAGAGTGTAAAATGTGCACAGAGCCATAGGTAAAACAAACAAATATGTGTAGTAAAATGAAATTAACTTCCACACTGCTCTGAAATGTAAATCTCTCAATTTACTTAGAGATAAACCCAAATATAAAACCAAAGGTGTGTTCCTCAAATAATCAGCAAAAAATATCTTTTTTGAGACAAAAGCTTCAGAAACTAATTATTTTCTAGGAAATAGGAGAAATAAACCTTACCTTTGAGCCCAGAGATGCCTTTGAGTCTTTGCCTGAAGGAAAATACTTACAAGATCTTCTTTCATTTCAATTAGTTTGCAAGATGGGCATAGATTCAAAGGCTTAATTAGTTGCTCAGTGATAAATTCTACTCTTTTCTCTAAATTTCCTGTTCTTTTTAGTTCCATTTAAAAAATGGAAAGTTTGTCTTAGCTTAGTCAATGAGCTACCTAGCTTATTATCTTTAGTCCTGGCAGACGCTGAAAGCTCAACTCAAATTCTGACTCCTTGGTTCTGAATTCCTCAATGCCTGACTAATCTGTCATTAACAACATGGGACCAGGGAGGATGTTATAAATTCTCTCCTGAGGGGAGAGGGACGAATCAAAGGATAAGGAAGGGGAGATTAAGAAATAATGGCTGGAGACAGAAGCTGGTGCAAATTAACAGACCCACAGGGCAGCTTCTTATGAGGTGTGAGGAACCCCAATATTACAGGGAATAGAGGAATCCAGTCATTCTAGGCAAATGTATCAGTATCTGTTCTCAGATGCTGTAGAAAACAAAGGGGTAGAATACCATTTCCAGAACTATGAACACCAGAGAGTTCTAGCTTTGGTTCATCAGGCAGTACTGAGAACTGTCCAGAGATGAGAAATAAGGATCAATGCAGATTTTAATTGCCCCAGTGGGGGCAAATAGCTATCAGGTACTAGGTGTAACAGGCTGGACTCCCAGACTTCTGGTTGGGCCTCACGACTCTTGTATTAAATCTCCTTTCTAGTGGGTACCTGTGCTATCAGTGAGATCTGTCTCAAGAACTCGGCCAGAATGATCAGTTACATTAACACTACACAATCTCATCTCATAAGACCCCTCTCCCTTGGCAACTCATTTTTTTTTCCCCAGGAACTCAAATGGGTCCTGTTCTCTCTTACTTGCTGTTTCTTTTACAGAAACATTAATTTCTAATAATTCGTGCTCATTCTGTTCACTGCTGTATCCTACATGCTTGGCTCATAGAAGCACAAAATAAGAATTTGCTGAATTCATCAATGAACTCAAAAGAAAGAACTGAAAAAGACAAAGCACAAAGCACCTGAGCAACTTTCTTCGTTTGGCTCTTCACACAAAGACCACAAATGGCAAAACTGAGGCAGCCTACTGGAACTGATGTGACCTAAGTAAAAATGCAGTTTTCCAGGTACTATAGGCTTTTGACATCCTCTCTGTCCAAGTACAGGGTTTGTATTGCCAGATCCTTTACCCATCAGTTGAACACCAGAAACAATTCTTTGCAACACGCAACACACACTCTTCACCATAAGCCTAGATTATCACTTGCTATGAACTGTCTCAAAGAGAAAATACGGCGATGTTACAAGAGAAATGAAGTGGGCTATTCTGTTTGCCACCTCCACCCTCACCTGCTGAGAATCAGCTATCTTTTAGAGAGAACGCTAAATGATTTACCTTATTTTTCATCCTTAACACAAGTCCCCCAACTAGGGATTAGTATTCTCATTTTACATTTACACAAAAATAAGACTCAGAGCAATAAACTCACTTGTGGGTCAAGCAGTTCAAGGGCACCATGGCCAAGCCCACAGGTCCCTTCATGCGTACTGTCCACCACACCTGCTGCCACCACATGGCCCTGCCCAGAGGTCCACCAAGGCCAGGCAGTGACTCAAACTCTCCCAGACACTCAGGACACCATTTTCCACCTTCCCCTATTTTTTTCACACTCCACCCCCCATTCAAGCACAACTTCATGTTGTCCTATTTGGAAAATTAATGATAAAATCCACCAAGAAAGTACATTATGACATTTCACCTTTGCTGAAGCTTTGTTCTCAGTACAAAGGGAAGAGAGAATACTTTGCGTCTTCTGTTTTAAAATATACACTAAAAGGAGAGTATATTTTACAATAACAAGATGCATTTTCAGGTACCAGAGAAGAGCCCTTCCCCTCTCAGTATGCTAGACAATTTTATGTCAAAGGGAGCTCTAAGGGTCAAGACTTACCCGCTCCATCTCTTTGAAGTCATCGTCCAGCTTGGTTCCTTCAGCTCCTCCAACCTTCTCACTCACTTTCTAAAGAAAACAAGCAAAAAGGAGAATTATTATAAATAAAGTTTCTTTTCAAAATGTGTGTTAACAGTTTCAAGCACTTTCACAAACATCATCTAATATTATTTTTCCTACAGCCATTCTCTGACATGGGGGACAGTCCTATTTTCATAGGAGGAAACTGGCTCAGAAGGTTTAAACAATTTGCCAAAGATCAGGCACCCAGTAGGTATTGAAACAAGAATTTGAACTTATTTCTTCTGCTTTCAACCCGTGTTCTTTATTATATACATCATTATATAACTACCTAATCACTAACATTTGCCTTTTGAAAGTTCTGAGGGACAACAGCATCATACAATTATCATTTCCCTCTGATAATGGATCTAAAATGCTACCTAGGTAGAAAATTGCTACTTCTTCCATCTATTTCTCCATGGGCTATTGAACAGATAATCACAAGCATCTATCAAACTGGTAAGAAAAAAAAAATCAGCCCAGCTGATCTTCAGATGAAAGGGCTTGAATACTAATCTTATAAAGCTTCCTGTAGCTGTCTATATCTTTATAAACATGAGATAAACCATACAGAAAGAAGTTAAGGGTATTTCTTTGCTACCCAATCAATTCCCATTATTATACATTTTATATTCATTAATTTATGCATTCAAATGGTCATTTTCCATATGTAGAATTCATGTTTATTAAAAAGTTAAATATCCTATTTTGTTCTGAAATAAAGATTTAAATTAAATCTAATAAAAATTTATGAATGGGTCACAAGAAAAATACCTTAGTTTCATCAAAGGCAGGAATATTAAGTGCTAATGACTCGAGACTTCTGTTGCTCTTAAAATATTCTAATTATAAAGGTAGTTAGATGCTTTTTACAAAGATGTCACTGTATTAAAGTTATCACACACAGATACTGAAGTATGAATTTTTATTTTCTTTAATAACCGCTGGATTGAAGGTCTCTGCAGAGAGGGCCACCACCAAGGCCAGACCTACAACAATCTCAGTAACAACCTGGGTCATCTTGTAAGTTTGGTTCATCTCCTTCTAAAGGAGTCCTTGGATATATAGCTCTGTCTCCTGGCAATGGAAGCCCCGATATCCCCTTGCTGGGAGCTTTAGTGTATTCCTTTCTTTCTCTCTCTCTCTCTCTCTCTCTCTCTGTCTCTCTCTCCTTCACTCCTGCTTTCTGCTATCAGGAAAACCTCTAGAAGAGACTAGTATTGGAGAAACTGAAAGTACGAATTCTACCACCACTCAGGACCTGCATACCAGATGCCACCCATTTCACCCCAGCATAAGTAACAGAAGGAATGTGTTGTGATGAATGGCCATGGCATGGACAGACTCCTCTACTCTTTGCTAGGTACACAGAGTTGTTATGAAAATTAAATAGTGTATCAAGTATAAGAACCTATGTCTGAACCTACAAGACAGATGGTAAATTCTAGTTCCCTTCTCTCACCAATGAAGTATATACCTGCTTATAGTATCCTGGTTTCCCCAGTTGTTTTTTTTTGTTTGTTTGTTTGTTTGTTTTTTAACTGTAGTGTGAAATCTTGAGAAGAATCCAGCAATTTTCATTAACATAACACAGTAAATAAAGGTCAATTATTAAAAGTGTAAGGTTAATAAAAACAATATTAATATCTTTCATTTGTATAGCTGACACCTACTTTCACTTGCAATTTGTCATCTAATATGGGCATCACAAGAACTATATAGATCACATATTATTCCCATGTCACAGATGAGAAAACTGAGGGTTGCATAAGTTAAATTTCCTATCCATGGTACAGATTGTTAGCTAGGAAGAAGTGGAACAAGGACCTGAATGCATTTTTTCCAAGCTAAACCATAGACTCCTTTGTATCCCCAGCCTAGTTTGGGGGAGCTGTCCATGGTGCTGGCCTTCCCCGCCTGAAGTTCCATTAGATTCACTGCCTTAACCCTGGGTCCTTGACATCAACCCTCACTTAACCTGTGTCCTAAACGATGCTAGTTATCAATTATTTCAGCAGTCCATACAGATCTAGGATTTGCCTAGCATCAACACCACCTAATCAAAAGCCTGTGATCTGGGAAAGAAGTCAACTTCTTTGCCTGCTTTCTTAAAGATTTTTAACAAACCAGAAATGGGGGTAGGGAGGTCCCAGAATTCAGTTTAGAACTTTCTAGTGGGATCCAAGTGCCAGTGACTTGACCTGAATGTTTGGAATTAAGTTATAGAAAATCAGGAAATAGAAGGGCCTGACAGGTTATTAATAATCAAATTTTTTCTATCAGCAAACAAATTTTTACTGTGATTTTTATAGGTTTACTCCCTTTCACTTTGTTCAGAGATGACAGTTTTAGCTCACATTTAGCCCCTCTTGTGTCTTATTATTCTTGGATTACATAGTTTTCAGTTAAATTTGGGCTGGGAAACTCTAGTCAAACTCCTACAAAATCAAAAAATATATACTGCATAGCCCTGAACCAACTCTCAGTTCTACCTTTCTCCAATGTCAAGGAACTCACTATATCCCAACATCCCATTTGGGTCAAAAACAGATCCTCCTATGACCTGTGAATGAGACATTTAATTTTTATTTACAAAACTGTCACCAAAAAAATAGCCAAAAATGTCTCCATTTATGGTAACATTAGCAAATCCTGGTAATCCTGGATTAATCACATTCTGATAATCTCTGGGGAATAAAATACGGCCCTTATCAAAAGCACAAGGCCTATATCACATTCAATCCCATATTGCTCAGCTGAGAATGATGTTAATTTCCCCCCTTTTTGCATCTAAAAACAAGTTGGCATCACAATAGCTGACTCACTGTATCAAACAGAATACCAAATGGAATTACAATGGCCATTAATAATTTAGAACTAGTCCTATGACTCACACCAAGGGCAACTCATCAGTCCATTGGCTTTAAATATTTGGTTTAAAATACTTAGTGTGGGTGTGGGTGTGAGTGCAGGTATGGGAGGAAGAGGTAGAGAGAAAGTTGGATTGAGAGATATTAAGCTCTTTCTCTTCTCTACAAAAGCTGATTTTGAACTGCTCTGAGAGAAACAGTTCACCAAACATACTAAATGAGGCTAGCAGTTAGATTCTGGTACTGGTCTGATTGGTTGGCTGATATAAAAATTTCTTATCTAATTAGATTCTTGGAGAAGGCAATATTCAAAATGACATCTACATTGTTCTTGGGGCTATCTTCTTTTCAAGTCACAAAGGATCTAAATATATCAAGGCATTGAATTAAACAGTGGGCTTAAATAACACTGACTCATTTCTTAGCAGTATAGCAAATATTTTCCCCTCCTGATCTTTAAATATCATTACTAAAACTTCTATCTTCTTATGAATGAGTCAAGGTGAGGAATATAGGCTCCCTGATCTTATCTGGCCAACAATGAATTTTGTTTTCCTTACCTAATACCATATACTTAAGAATAATTTTGCCCTACTATTTTCCAGTGAGGTGGTCCCTAAAAACTAAGAATTCATAGTATTGAGTATTTTTGGATACTGTTTAATGTAATTTGGCTAATATGCTAGCACTTGAGAAATTGATCACCTATTTAAATTTAAATGAACTTTGGGGCACCTAGATGGCTCAGTCGGTTAAGCTTTGGACTTTGGCTCAGGTCACGATCTCAGGGTTCATGAGGTCAAGCTCCACATTGGGCTCTGTGCTGACAGCTGGGAGCCTGAGGCCTGCTTCAGATTCTGTGTTTCTCTCTCTCGGTCCTTCCCCAAGCTCTCTCTCTCTCAAAAATAAACATTAAAAAAATTGTTTTTAAATTTAAATGAACATCAGCAAAAGGTATTTGAATCAAACAAAACAGTACAAATAAGCCAATATACTCCCCTATGCTACCCAAAACAAAACAAAAACATCAAACACATCAAACAACTCCTCTATTCATAACTCTCAACTGTACCCACTTAACTACATTGAGAGCTTACACTTCTCATCTTATCTATTACACTCTACATATACTCTGTGTTTCAATCAAAACAGCAATTTCACCTTCCTCTATCTTACTCTCCATTGTATTCCTCATAACAGGTATTCAGCTAAGATCTGTGGAACTGAACTACAATGTCTTTTTGTAAATATTAATGTTAGGTTGACAAGAGAAAGCATACAGTGAGGCAAATAAGACTTATCACCTCACTCAGGATGGTGTTTCAAAAGGCACAACTTTCCAAAAAAAGAAAAAGAATATAGTCAACTCACATTTTAAATTAAAAGTCTTAATTCTGAGCCTGCAGTAGCGTTGTCTCATGCTATTTTTTCTCCATGTACCAAATAAGAAAAATGTCAAAGGGAACCAGTAGCAAGAGACAGCTTAAATAAATGACCACTGTTCACAGCCCAGAGGATGCTGCACTGCTTTCCAACAATGACTCATCCTCCTCCATACTAACTGTAACCTCTGGGAAGAAGACACTCCCTCTAGTTACAGCTCTGATTCTTCCCTGCATTGTGTTTCATTTACTAAACACTGATGACTCAACTCCCATGTTTCTGACTGCCTTTACGGTGGTCTCCTTGAAAAATCACATCAGTGAAATTCATCAGACTTAATACCAAATTCATTCATACCACATACACCTGCAAAGTGATTTACTTCCTACTTCTCTGTTTTTGTTCAGTTCTGTTATTTTACATCATACAAAGCCAGGTTTCTTTACAATCCACCAAATGCACTGTGTTTATTTCCTCTGCCTTGTACATGGACCTATTTCCTTTTTCTATTTTTTAAATCCTACCAACAATTCAAAATGCTCACCCAGATTTCACCTTCTCTGTCATCTTGACTGCCCACCCTAGCAGGAAGTTATTAGACTTAATATGCATTCTTAATAAAGCATATCATCTGTTGGACTACCTGGAACTAGCCACTTCATTAATAAAATTGCTGAAGATCCTTGCTCATCTGAATTTTAAGATGCTAAAGGCAGGAATCATATCTCCTGCTTCTTTGTCTAAAAATGTTTG